GGAGAGAAGACAGACCAGGAGGTAGAGAAATCTGGGTCAAAGTTCATCTCCACACGGCGTGTCCTCAGTTTGAAGACTACCCACGGGCTTCATGGTGTCTGACCTCACGCTTTCTGGACCATAAATTACTCTGAATAAGTAACTTCTGTTCGAGGCCGACGACATTTGTTGACACACATCATAACATGAAAACTGACTGAAAGTACACTCCTCTTTATACATATAAAAACCTACATTTTCAGACCAGCAACCAACTCGTTTAACATACGGTCAAGCACAAATAAAGCTAAGTTTGCGCTTCTTCATGAACAGGTTGTTTCTGTTCATGCACTCCTCCACAACACTAACACACAATGTAAGCAAAACAAGTAACCCAAATTTCTCAATATACATATATTAAAACTGCTTAACACAACTCGTTTATTAATAGTTTTGGAATAAATTAATCAAACAAATTTCCTACGTACCTTTTCAGCGTCAGTTATTTTGTATCTTAAACTTGTAAAAGCAGTGTGGTAGGATTATACTGCATTTCCTGTTATTTTTTCAAAATAAAAGATATTACAAGTTAAAATGAACATCAACGCATAAACAAACTGATATATACTTCAATATTAACTTTATTTCACTAGCTATTTATAGTTTCTTTACTGGTATTGTAATCCTTGACGTAAACTTTTTTATTTACACGTTACAATTTATCGTAAGCATTTGTTCTGAAAAACCGTGCGTTCACGTTTAAGCATATCCGGTAACGCTTTACTCGTTCTCTTCCAGTCATTTGACAGTGACGTGCCAGTATTCCGTGCTCTAATTGGTCAATAGATATAACTTTCGACCAATCAGGGACCACTTCTTTGTTAACGAGGAAAAACACTTGCAACAAGCTAACGGCGTGATCAAGGTGAGCCAGGACTTTATATCTAATGTAGTAACTCAGAAATAATTTTGTAAATGTAGACTAAAACATTAATTAACTATCATTACCCGCTTTCTCGTGCAAAGTCGCGGGGAGCTGGTAATTGCCTCCAGCTTTGGTTAATTAGTAAAGTAATCTTAGCTTGTCAGATACAGATCTGTAGCTGTGTTTAGGTGGTCATTAAATGCATCGGTATTTCATTTATTCTTCTCTCTGCATGATGTTTTTTTTACATCCCAGAAGAAACCTGGAAGGACCACCATGGGAGTGTTATCCACGCTTATGAGGGGTCTGGTTAGAGGCGCAGACAGGATGTCTGAGTTCACCAGCAAACGCGGCCCAAGATCCCACAATAAAGGACGAGGCGCTCGGCCCTCTGGACGGAAGCTGCCCAGCGGAAAGTTTGTCAGCGTCCATGAGATGATCCCAGAGTTTGTGGTGCCCAGTTTGGAGAATTTTAAACTCAAGCCTTACGTATCATACCGTTCACCAAGAGGAACAGAACCACCCGTCACTGCACAGAGCTTATTTAATGAAGCTGTGGCTCCCCAGATCAAGAAAGACTTTGAGGAGGACACTTTCAGCAAAGATCAGCTGGAGAAGTATGGATTTGAGCCATCCCAGCAAGGGAAACTCTTCAAGCTGTACCCCAAGAACTATGTGCGTTAGAGATGGAGTCTGACAACCCCCAGAAGGATCATGAGATGAGCTGAACTTCTAAAAGGCAGCTCAGTTAAACAGTTCATTACCAGATGTTCTGGACATGAGGCAGAACTGTGTGTACAACCCACATGTGAGCAGGGTTCCATTTACACCTTTAAGTGCTCTATAAGAACACATTGACCCATGTGTCATGTTGAGCTCATGCATCATAAGAAACACAAATATTGAATGTTCGTCAAGTGGTTTTATTTTGTGGAAGGAAATAAAACTGTTCATCTAAATTTTCTAATGTTTAAGAATAATTACAAGGCCCAGTATTTCTTGAAGGATGCACATCGCCTGCTGCTTTTCATGGCAGACTTTTAAACCGAGATGATCTGATGATAAATGATGAGCTTATGCAGTTTTGACCAAAACTTGGAATAATGTTGAGCACAATCTGTCAGCCCTTTTCTGTGTAATAAACAAGGATTTTCAGCTACTACCAGACTTGTACAAACTGAGTTCTATCCATTTTCATGTTTGCTACAGCGAGTTAACTGGCAGCCATCTTCAGTAGGTTTGACTCCAAAACTGAATCACTTGTAGACGTTCATCTAATGAATACCCGGGTTTGATTAAAATAAAGACTGTCACATTCACAAATTTTACTGGGTGATTAATTGTCTCAGGAATTATTGAGATAAACAATGTTTGAAAGTTGACTAGTAATTATTGTCAACTTTAAGAAGAAATGTTGGTTAATTTTTGTGTAGTACCTTTTTTTTGACCACCAGATGGCAGTATAAGACTGAACATAAGGATGGATAGTGAGGGAGCGAGCAGCGTGTCTCTAAGAATGGGAGGGAGGCCCCTTGACGTGACATGGGCTGTCTCTATTTTTTTTTTGGTTCTCACAATGGCGGACGCTCGGTGTGGTTTGAGCTCTTTAGCATTTTTCACACAAAACTTTTAATAAAAAAAAATCAGTAAACAAGTTCTCAGCTTCTTTTTGCAGAGAAAAACAACTTTTTACATGAAGGCACGGGTTTCAACCGTGAATTTTGGAGCTTCGATAAGACGGAAGTTTATTCCTGAGACTGGCCTGTTAGCTTAGCTCGTAGCTTAGCTTGTAGCTTAGCTCGTAGCTTAGCTCTTTGCTGCTTTTAACAACCCAAAAACAATTCTGGACAGTTGAAATGGATTTTAAAGAGAAGGGGAGGGGTCAGTGAAGATCACCGGAGTGGAGCCATTTGTCATCCAGAGTCTTCAGTAGAAAGAGACGCGATGAAGCCAATAAATAAAAATGAGGTCGATCGTTTTCTTTTATCACGCGATTGTTTGTGACAGTGGTGATGGTGAGATGAAGCTTCATGAAGCACTGAGGCTTTCCATTACTTGGACTCCTGATCCGACGCACCATGGTGCTTCATTTGCTCTACTGCGCCATCAAGTGGACTATAAAGGTAAAACAGGTAGATGGATTATAATAACTAGTTTGCAAAGCTTTAAGTTGAATAAAAGGGAAAAAAAAGTTTGAGGACCTCAAATAAAGTCTAAATTCGATCTGCAAATGATCTTAATCTGTCTTTATGATGATGGTGGTGATGGACTTTTCTGTCTGCTCCTTATATTTCAATTGTTGCGCGTACAAACGAGCCAGTTCCTGAATTGGTCACGTGGTAGCTAGCGAGGCCTCGAACGTCACTACACGCGTTATTATCAATACACGCCTCGATGCACGCTCCACATAAATCCTCCTGGATTACTCGACACGTGGTTCGAAGCCTCGACGCAGGACACATTACTATGTGACAGGCCTAATTAAAATCAATTCATGACACGTCTTCCTACCATCAGTCCTCAGTATGTGCTGGGGACGACCCGGCTGCCAACACAGTACATTTTGGTCCATGTTAGTAAAACTGAACATCTTATAATAAATATTGTCTCAATATGTGTTTGCTAAGGCTGAATAAACCATGTTGAACTATGCTGATTCAAAAAGTTAATCATTTGTACTTTCATCCAAATTGGTTCAGTGATTCCTGAGATTTTGCAACGTGACAAATGCACCATCACTCAGTGGTGGGTAATATTAAACAGCTTTTAATATCTTAAATATACACATTCAGAAAACAACTGTGTACATGTAAATATGCTAATGAGTATTTGGTTTTATAAAAACGTTCCCAGGCCTTGAATCCAGAGACCCGTTTACTTTTGTTCAGTCACAAGTGGTGTGACCTGGTGATTAATACAAATGTTCAGTTTTCTTTAAATGGTGTCGTGTAGACTCCAGGGCAACTATTTATTCAACATTTCATTTGAGATGAGCTTCAATGACGACATGAAACAGAAAACACGACAGACTAGTAGTCAGATGTGTTTCTGTGCAGGGGTTCCATTAAAACAAGTGTCTGAGGGTGAACTGTGCTGGGTGCACTGCTGCCACAGTACAAATGCAGAATAAGGATTGAGCAGAATTCATTATTAAATACAGCAATCATAAAAAGTTTTTGGTGATTGGATAAAATATTCTAGAGTGGAGAATCCATCGTCAATGGAAGAATATATTGGTGTTGCCTCAAACCAGTTTATCAGCAATGATGCAACTCCTGCTGAGTCTCATCGAGTCCAGTCCCAGCGCCACAAGTGGAGCATGTGGTCATAGAACGAGCATGTGGCGAGCAAACAGGACAGCGAGGCAGCGTCCTCAGGGTTGGGGGCTGGACCTGCAGCAGGGGAGGTAGAGGGGGCTGTGGGGGGTTCCTCTGGGATGTATCGGCCCAAGTCGTCCTCCAGGGAAGTGTCGAAGCTGGCTGTGGGTGATTCGTACTGGAGCCGTAAATGTCCTCCGCTCTCGGCAGGACTTTCCTTTGAATGTGTGGTGGGAGGGGAGTGGGGAGCAAAGCCCTGGAGGGGCAGCCTGGACCAGTCCGCTCCATATGCCAAGGAGTTGTGAAGGATGTAGGAGGACACAACTGGACACGGCCCCCCGCCGCCCTCTGAACACGTAAACAACAATGATTATTAACATAAAAACATTTCATACATTTATTTTTTCATGTTAAATGGGCTGAAAAATAAATTGTATTAAATTACTACCTGAGCAGAAATCCTGTAAATATATTTGACTTAATTTTAATTTTAGGGGAGAAACATGGTCAGTCTGGACTCTGTGAAACGAGTTACTACCAACGTTTCAGAACCTCCATTCTTTACAAATCTTTATAAATCTTTATAAATCTATAAACAGCCAAGTGTCACAGCCTGTGAATCAGGCTCAGTTGGGGAGAAGCCAAAGCTAACAGTTCTTCCCTTCACACCAACCTAGGGCCTGCTGGCAGTGCAGGATATGGAAGTCGTTGTGCATGCACGCTGCTAGCAGCAGGTCTGGATCGTCTGGGTGCCACTTTAGCCTCCACACCCCACCACCCACTGGAGTCTCCCTAAGGGGCTGCTTCATGTTCCTGCTGTCCCACAGCAAAACCCGCTCGTCGTAACTGCAGAAGAAAAAGGTGAGAACGAAAAAATGACTAAAAGAACGAGTCCATTTGTTTTGCAAGCATGCAGATACTCGCCTGCCTGTAGCCAGGATATGTTCACGGTGTGGATTGCTGTGAATGCTGCACACACCCATGGAGTGACTTTGAGAGGAAAAATGAAAATAAATAAATATTGAGCACAATGCTTATCAGAGACAACCCATCAACTCGGGGCCTTTCACTACCTTCTACTGATGAAAGCCGGGCGTGAAGGACCAGCTCGGAGATCCCAGCCTTTGAGTTTGCAGTCATCCCCACCTAAAAACAAGTCCACATGAAGTGATGAGAAAAACTAACACCACTAACTCTACAACTAGTTTTAAATAAATAAATGGAAAAAAATCCTTACAAGGTTGTACAATTATGATCAATTATTAAGGGAACAACAGATAAAAGATGATTTACATACATGCATATACATATACACATACAGTGCTTTGCAAAAGTATTTGGTCCCCTTGAACTTTTCAACCTTTTGCCACATTTCAGGCTTCAAACATAAAGATATAAAATTTATTTTTTTGTGAAGACTCAACAAGTGGGACACAATCGTGAAGTGGAATGAAATTTATTGGATGTGTCAAACTTTTTTAACAAATAAAAAACTGAAAAGTGGGGCGTGCAATATTATTGGGCCCCCTTGCGTTAATACTTTGTAGCTCCGCCTCTTGCTGCAGTTCCAGCTGCAAGTCTCTTGGGGTTTGTCTCTGTCAGTTTTGAACATGGAGACACTGAAGTTCTGCCCATTCTTCCTGCAGAACAGCTGGAGCTCAGTGAGGTTGGATGGAGAGCGTTTGTGAACAGCAGTCTTCAGCTCTTTCCACAGATTCTGGATTGGATTCAGGTCTGGACTTTGACTTGGCCATTCCAACACCTGGATACGTTTATTTGTGAACCATTCCATTGTAGATGTGGCTTTATGTTTTGTATCATTGTCTCGTTGGAAGATAAATCTCCGTCCCAGTCTCAGGTCTCTTGCAGACTCAAACAGGTTTTCTTCCAGAATGGTCCTGTATTTGGCCCCATCCATCTTCCATCAATTCTGACCATCTTCCCTGTCCCTGTTGATGAAAAGCAGGCCCAAACCATGATGCTGCCACCACCATGTTTGACAGTGGGGATGTTGTGTTCAGGGTGATGAGCTGTGTTGCTTTTACTCCAAACATATCATTTTGCATTGTGTCCAAACAGTTGGATTTTGGTTTCATGTGACCAGAGCACCTTCTTCCACATGTTTGGTGTCTCCCAGGTGCTTGTAACAAACTTTAAACAACACTTTTTATGGATATCTTTGAGAAATGGCTTTCTTCTTGCCACTCTTCCATAAAGGCCAGATTTGTGCAGTGTATGACTGATTGTTGTCCTATGGACAGACTCTCCCACCTCAGCTGTAGATCTCTGCAGTTCATCCAGAGTGATCATGGGCCTCTTGGCTGCATCTCTGATCAGTCTTCTCCTTGTTCCAGATGAAAGTTTAGAGGGACGGCCGGGTCTTGGTAGATTTGCAGTGGTCTCATACTCCTTCCATTTCAATAGGATTGCTTGCACAGTGCTCCTTGGGATGTTTAAAGCTTGGGAAATCTTTTTGTATCCAAATCCGGCTTTAAACTTCTCCACAACAGTATCTCGGACCTGCCTGGTGTGTTCCTTGGTCTTCATGATGCTCTCTGCGCTTTGAACAGAACCTTGAGACTATCACAGAGCAGGTGCATTTATACGGAGACTTGATTACACACAGGTGGATTCTATTTATCATCATCAGTCATTTGGGACAACATTGGATCATTCATAGATCCTCACTGAACTTCTGGACTGAGTTTGCTGCACTGAAAGTAAAGGGGCCCAATAATATTGCACGCCCCACTTTTCAGTTTATTTGTTTAAAAAGTTTGACACATCCAATAAATTTCATTCCACTTCACGATTGTGTCCCACTTGTTGATTCTTCACAAAAAATTAAAATTTTATATCTTTATGTTTGAAGCCTGAAATGTGGCAAAAGGTTGAAAAGTTTAAGGGGCTGAATACTTTCACAAGGCTCTGTATACAGACCCTTTCCAAAAAATTAGAATATCATGGATATCATGGAAAAGTTATTTAATTTCCGTAATTCCATTCAAAAAGTTAATCTTTAATAGATGAATAGATTCAGGGACCAAAATTTAAACCGTCTTCGTGAGTTTCATGAACTGGAAGCCCAAATTATGTAAAAATAAACAAACAAATACTTGAAATCGTTTCAACTGTGGGCCCTGAATCTATAAAAGATTAACTTTTTGAATGGAATTATGGAAGTTAAACAACTTTTCCATGATATTCTAATTTTTTGGAAAGGATCTATCTATCTATCTATATATATATATATATATATATATATATATATATATATATATAATGTATGTATATATATAGCCTTGCTCAAGGGCATAGAGTGGGGCAAATGAAGGTGGAGGCAGGTGAGGGTGTTTCACCTTTCCCACCAACATTTTTGATGTTTTCAGTACAGGGAGTTGATCCAGAGACCTTCCGATCACAGGCCCACCTTCTCTAACCTCTGCGCCACCACTCCCCCTACATTTAGAGTGTACACTAACCTAATAATGCAGGTATTCAAAGGGAACAAATTTAGAGTTTTACTTCATTTTTCTTCATATTTACCACCAAATTATATTAATAAACTTAAAGACACTTAAAAAGAAAACTTCCCAGTTTTCTCCTGGCTGATTCCAGTCCTGAGCTTATTTACCAGAATAAAGCAGCTGTGTGTCCCAGTAGGAGAAGGCTGAGATCCAAGCCTCAAAGTCATGGCCCTTCCACTCACACAGTGGTGTCAGTGCGCCTTCAGCCAGAGAAAACACAGTGATGCAGCCTGCAGAGTCACTGCACACCACCCGCACGTCGCTGCTGCTGAAAAGACATGAGGCTCACGTTTCTTTTACCGTGCAGCTGACAGGTTAGAAGCTGCTGGAGCTCCAGTACCTGTCCATTCTTCCAGTGGACCAGTCCAGCGACAGAGCGAGTCTCTCTGCTCCAACCTGGCTGCAGCACAGAGGCTGCAGACGGAGTCCACCCTCCTGCTGGACACAGATTCATGAGCGAACACTGTGACTTTGTAACAAACACATCATGTACTACAACGTCTACTGTTACTGTACTGTGTGGACAGGACCAATGAAGATACTAAAAACATTTAAGACAATTACTCATGTCACTACATCAAAGAAAAGTGTTATTGCCAAAGAAGTTTTTCACTTTGCCTCAGATTTGTCTTCTAAAATGTTCTTTATATATTCAGTCCTCTTACTGATGATATTCCTTTACCTTTATAGCCTTTTGTTTAAAGACATGTTGCTGCTATACAATTCAAAACTACCGTATTTTTTGCTGTATACATTGCAGTTTTTTGCATAAATTAGCATACCTGTGACTTATATATATATATATATATATATATATATATATATATATATATATATGTGTGTTGTTTTTTTTCTTCTATATATTTATAACCCAAGTTTTGGCCGAGCTTTCATGATTTCATTCATTCTGCCAAGGAAAATATTGAACACTACCATTTTCAACCACTAGAGGGCCCTCAACTAATATGGCAATCCAAGTGTCTCATTAATTGGTAAAAGTGGCTATTAACGAGACAATTGGCTTGCCATACAAAGCCACCTTCGTCTTGCTCTGGAACTCCTGGAGTAAATGTCAAATCAGCTTCATTTCGCCGCGACGCCCAGGTGAAATGAAGCTGATTTGACTGTCAAGGTGCATTTATTAAGGAAAAGTTCAACTGAGACACACCTTTACTATAATGAGCAAACAAATAATTGTTTTTAAGTGTTAATCTTGTTAAATTCTTGTTAAAGTCCTCCCGTGCACGTTTCCGCGGCCGCCATTTGATTTTTGGCACAACATCGGCCCACATTTCCAGGTTGTCAGCGGTGACGTGCAACAAACGTGACGCGTCAGTGGTGACGCATAACAGATGTGACTTATATGGTGAAGCGACGTATTTATGTTTTTTTCCACTTTATTAGACATATTTGGACTGATGTGACTTATACGGTGGTGTGACGTGTATGGCGGCAAGTACAGTACTTAAAAAAGGCTAAATTTCTTTGTTTACACATTCACATTACACTAGGTTTTATTATACTGTAAATAAAATATGGGTTTATGAGATTTGCATATCATAATTTCATTTTGCACAACAAGGGGCGGCTGTGGCTGAGTGGTTAGAGCAGTCGTCCTCCAATGCAAGAGTTGGGGGTTCGAATCCACCAGCAGTCACATGCTGAAGTGTCCCTGGGCAAGACACTGAACCCCTCATAGCCTCTGATGTGTGTCCCATCAGTGTATGAATGTGATAAATCACTGATTAGTCTCTTTAGAATGATTTGTTCAATTATCTTTGTAGAGATCTAGTATAGAGCTGTATGAACGGGTGAATGAGGCACAGATTTTAGTGTAAAGAGCTTTGAGTGTCTTGATAAGATAGAAAGGTGCTATATAAGTACAGTTCATTTACCACTTACAACATCCCAGTTTTTTCAGGATTGGGATTGTAAATAAAGCTGGAGGTTGTTGATTGGCAGTGACATTAAATAATTATTTATCTTTAAATATTATTCAAGCTTCAGAGCAAAGCTGCAGTCTTTTCTAAGCTGTTTTATTTCAGTAACTAACTCATAAGATGCATTTACTGCTAGTCAGATTTGAAGATGTGTTTTAGAGCAGCGGTCCCCAATCACCGGGCCGCGGACCGGTACCGGGCCGCGCAGAAAAACAAACAAACAAAAAAAACGTTTATTTTGAAAAATCACCGGATTATCTCCACCACATCTGTCAGTGACTCACTCTTGACGCAGGTCACCATACACAAGTGGTAAGTTTCTATATATGTAAAAGTATTTATATATATATATATATAAATGGGCAGCACGGTGGCGCAACTGGTAGAGCTGCTGCCTCTCAGCGAGCAGGTCCCTGGTTCAAACCCCGGTCCAGGGACCTCCTGGGTGGAGTTTGCATGTTCTCTCCATGCATGCGTGGGTTTTCTCCGGGTACTCCGGTTTCCTCCCACAGACCAAAAACATGCATGTTAGGCTGATTGGTAACTCTAAATTGTCCCTAGGTGAGAGAGTGAATGGTTGTTTGTCTCGTTTGTCTCTATGTGTCCCTGTGATGGACTTGCGACCTGTCCAGGGTGTCCCCCGCCCCTCGCACAGTGATTGCTGGACATGGGCACCAGCGACCCCCGTGACCCAAAATGGAATAAGCGGGTAAAGAAAATGGATGGATGGATGGATGGATATATATAAATGTATAAGTTTCAGTTTCTGTTAGACGCGTGTGCAGATGGTTCTACATCGCCCGTTCGGGTGGAGCTGCGTGGTCTGGAGCAGACAGGATAGGAGGAGGCGCGCGTCCGTGTTTGCGCATTTCAAGGATCACTGCATATTTTTCAACCCGCCTGACAAAGAGTGACTGTAAAACGATGAACTAAATAAAACTATAATTTTAAACAAAGCTTCCTAATATCAAATCAGAGCTGGTTTTGTCTTGAACTTTTTAAAATTCACATCAGAGCTGGTCCTTCACATTTCTGCTTCTGCTCTTAAAAAAAAAATCTCCGCCCCTAATAATTCAAAGTCATGGGCAATTTTATTAAAAAACACAATAATTAAAGTTTTGCACTATGCATAAGTTCCTGCATTTTTGTATACAGTCTGATGTGTGAATCACTGCGGAGCAGGGAGGAGGATGACGGGGCACAGCTGATCCTGGTGTGGGATATACTAATTAAATGAGAAATGATCCTGCATTTAATACACTTATAAATCTCACATAAAGTGATTAAAAGTACATTTGAAATACAGGTGCTGGTCATAAAATTAGAATAATGTGAAAAAGTTGACTTATTTCAGTAATTCCATTCAATAAGTAAAACTTGTATATTCATTTGTTACACACAGACTGATATATTTCAAATATTTGTTTCTTTTAATCTTGATGTTTATAACTGACAATCAAGCAACTGACAAATCAGAAAATTCATTGTGTCCTGAAGAGCTGCAGCGGTTTACCTGCAGAGCTGCAGCGGTTTACCTGCAGA